CGAGCTATTCCACATTCAAATGCAAATACTTAATAACCCAAGCTTAAGGATCATATGATTCTTTAGACAGTAAATCTGGTGGTTCAGTTGTACACATATTTGGCAGATTATAGGTTTATCACTGGCAGCTAATCTTTTAAAGAACTGGGGCTTAACTCCTTTTGTTAACTAATTAAAAAAGAAGGAACTTCAAGCTGTAATTAGACCTATTAAAACATGTGTTACTCACTCAATGGTCTATACAACCAGGATAAATGCATAATTAGGAGGTTTCACCAAACATGATTAAAGCCAGTCATGTGTCCTAGGCCATCAAACATCTATGTGTGTGTGAGATTGAGAGTAAACTCAGTATGTGATATAAACCATAATGTACATTCTAGAGAAAATACATGAACTGCCTTGGACTTGATGTTCTTGGAGGTCTTTTCCAAGCTAAATGATTCTGGGAGTCTGTACTGTAAATATTTAACTCAATCATAAAAGCTGTTTTTCAGATGTGAGTTCTGGAAGGGTTGTGTCACACCCATAGTTTGGGGTATGTGGTGACAGTGGTGGCAGTGATGGGACCAGGTCCATCTGAGCCCGTGATCTGTCACTGTTGTTCCCTACAGCTTGCTGATAATATAAGAAATTTAGAAGTTAGTGAGTGGAGTATTCCTGTTCTTGATCAGCACATTCCCCAGGGACATAAGGATTTGTATCCCTTCCAAAACTCATGTCTGGTCTGGGGGATTAAGCTTCTTTTTTGTTTGGGTTGTTGGTCTTCAAATGACAAAGTAGTAAATTCTTCAGCTTTGTGGCTAGAGGGTATTTTTCCTTCCTCATATTTAGGAGATGGGAAGAAAAGCCAGGTCCACTGACCTTTTGTACCTCACATTCATAGGTGTGAGTGCTTTCTCCCTGCAGTGCTTTCAGGTGATGTCATTCCTTGAAGGGAAATTCCCAGGAAGGCTGTGGCAGTTCTGGGTCTCTGCAGCCACCGTCCTGTCCATATGTGGATGATTGATTGGAATCCTCCCTGGCTGGTGTCTCACCAGCCCTTTTGTGGCACAGACAAGCTGGAGAGAGGGACTGGGAGCACTTTTGCATCCTGAGTTGCCACCACCAACCCCTTTCCCCATGCCCACATCCAGGCTGGAGCCTCGAAGCTGTCTGGGCAGCAGGGAGGGGGATTGATGCCATGAAGTCATTCCAAAAATCCCAGTGCAACTCTCCAAACCAGGAGATGGTGACAGCTCTCGTGGAGGTGCAGACATCTCTGACACGACTGCTAGCCAAAATTAAATTGTTGGCTGTCACAGCTTTTTGTTTCAAAGAAACTTTGGTTTCAAGCACCTCGTGTTCAGAAAAACACTGAAGTGTTGGGGTTGCTGGGCTTAACCTGCAAGGAAGAAATTAGCTCAGGTCCTGAAAGCTGACTCAGATATTTCCAGTTTTCCTGCCAGAGACCTATTTGCACTGGTAAACAAATTACAGAAGAGTTCTCAAGTCATATAGACAGGAACAAGCTCCTTCAATATATACCAATTTCTGCTGGGGGAACAGTGAAATTCAGTTAAAGCCTGAGCTGCCTGTTCTGCTTTTAGGCCCAAGAGATACTGCAGAGAGAATTGGGCTGGTGTAAGCCCTTTTTGTGTCACTAAACTGCTGAGAGCCCCAGGGTCAGACAGTGCAGAGGAAGCGGTGGAGGTGTCCTGCTGCCGGCTGTGGAGGGGAACGGAGCTTCCTCTGCACCTGTCACATCGGCCTTTGCCTTTGTTTGTGCTGGTTGGCATGTCCACATCCACTGGGAGAGGAAGAGGGATGTTCCTATGGATGCATGGGTTTAGGTGCACACAAAAATAGCAGCTGTCTGTACTTGCACGCGTGGTGGTTTCTGGACCAGTTTCTAAGCGGTTCCTGTGGTCCAAATGAGCAGCACTGGAAGAATTCTGGAGTAATTTTTTTTGCTTGTGAAAAGCAAAAAGACAAGGCCCCCTCATGGAAAGGACCAGTTTTTGTCCCAGGGGGCTCCCCAGCTGTGCCTCTTGAGAGACAACTAAAACGTGAGTTTTGAGTGACTGACTAGGGATGGAAGACGGGGGGTCCCATCTCGCTGTGACAAATTACTGCTTGCTTTTCTTGTTTAGGTTCCAACAGGGTGACTGTTAGCCAAAGGTCCTGAACAACTGCATAAGAAGAGGAATTAGCTCTTTAATCCTAAATCTAGAGCTCCAAAACCAGGCAGAAGAATTCCCTAAATTGTTTCAGGGTTTGGTGTGTTTTGCCTGGCTGTCACACCTGAGTGGCTGCACGGGCCACAGCCCTGAATATCTGACCTCAGATACCACTGAGCTCTTCATGTGGGCTCTGCTTTTTAAGGCTCCTTTCATTCCCAACTGAAGTCGGAATCTCATGACTTAAATTTGGATACCATTGCTTCAGAGAATGTAGTTTAAATATTAAACAGATATTTGGAGTGTGTCAGCGTGGGATAAGCCAGGGAGGAGGAGGAAGAGGATTTGAGGAGGAACTGGGAAAGAAGAGTGAATGCCTTACTTGTTGCAGATGATTTCATTGTATTGGGCATCTGATTCCGTGGTGTTGATGACACCAAGTCAGTCTTTTACCACAAAAGGAATGCTTTGTACAGTTTTCCTGCTCTACACAAAGACTGTAAGAGGAGAATGTTGTTTAAAGGAAGGAAATTCCTGTGCAGGGCATTCCCTGGGAGTGGTATTGGCTGGTGAGCACAAAATGATGTCATTTTTCTGTAGGTATCTCAAATTTGAGGAACGTGCATTTCCAAACCTGTCGTTCTGCAGGTGGAAGTGGCACTGTCCATACTCATCCCAAGGCCTGGCAGGTGACTGTCACCCTCCCTGTGATGCAGATCTGAGCCTCTTCAGAAACCACAGCCAGCCTGCAGTTCCCTGCTTTCTAATTCTGCATGACTAAGCCTTTCAGCATATAATAAATACTGTTGCTCATTCCAAATGCATTGGTTACCTGTGCACCAATCACTGTCAGCATATTTCTGCACTGGGGTGGTTGAGTGTTGGGTAATTGGCATAAATTAAATTAATCTGAGTCACAGTATTGCCCTTTCTGTTCCACCCACGTGTGTGGTAGGGACGGGGAGATGTGTGAGCAGCACTGCACACGCCCTGCCAGCCAACAAGGAACCTGTGTTCCCTCAGAGAATGGGCATTGGTGCTCAGCTCACGCCAAAATATGAGGAAGTGAAGAGTGCACACAAGTGTTTGTTTGGTGTGACTACAGGAATCCTCAAAAAGTTCCTTTCAGCCAGGGGATTACAGCGAGGAGAACAATGCACAGGCATCAGTGGCAGATTTTTGGCTGCTGGTGGATGTATTTGTGACCCAGGCACGTGGCTTGGTGTCTGCAGGGCACTGCCCACGTTTGTGAGGGAGAGCTGGGCCCTGGCCTGGCTCTGCTGAAGGGCACAAAGCCAGGCACTTCCCTTCACTCAGCTGTTTCCCATCTGAAGAAGGAGAATCAGTAATTGCTCATTATTCTCAAAACACTTCCATGCTTAAGGACATATCATAAGCCAGAGTCATGGAATGGTTTGGGTTGGAAGGGACCATAAAGACCATTGATTCCACCCCGCTGCCATGGGCAGGGACACCTTCCACCAGCCCAGGTTGCTCCAACCTGGCCTTGGACACTTCCAGGGCTGGGGCAGCCACAGCTTCTCTGGGCAAACCTGTGCCAAGGCCTCCCCACCTTCCCAGGGAGGAATTCCTTCCCAATATCTAATCCAAACCTCCCCTCTCTCAGTTTAAATCCCGGCTGTTCTCCTCACAGATGATCTATAGAACAGCAACAGTAAGCTGAGGATTTGTAGAGGTTACATTTGTAGGAACAGATTGTCCTGTGCTTACAACTCTGTGCACTGACTGTTGAATTTCTGCCCCTGCAATTACTCCTGGGTGTAGCTCAAGCTGCTTGGATGGCTGAGAACTTGCTTGTGCTCATGTGTCAGGTATTTAGGCATCAAAGCACTGTGCCTTATTCCTGCACAAGGCAGCACCCACAAAACTGCAGGTGCAGGGAAAGGTCAGGTTGAAAATCAGGTCTTTGCAGTTCACAGAAGTGTTGCTGAAATAGGAAAACGGGCTGTGAAAAAGAAAAAGAAATCTGTTAGATGAACCACTCCTTTTGGTCCGTTTTAGGCTGAGTTGTGCTGAATGTGAAGCACATCTCATCCCATGGGATTGAGCTTTACTCAGAAAGGCTTGGAATTCCCTGGGCAGCTCAATCCCTGCCTTGTGTGGCTCTGAGTCGTTCACCTGCAGGTCCTGCCTGCGGAGCAGGGGATGTTCCTGAGGCTCCCAGGGGAGCTCAGATCTCCTCTTTGTGCAGCTGGGATTGGGACTGGGTTTTTTTTGGGGACTGTTCAGTGCCCCTCACTCTGCCTTCCTGCTGTGAGGGGAGGTGTCTGCTGCTCTTCAGGGCAAGTGGAGTGAGATGGGTGCTTAGCACCTTGGAAAGATTCCCTTATTCCGTGGCTTTTAATGAAGGAAAACATTTTGTTTGAGGGTTTTGGGGGGGTTCAACTCCTTCCCAGTTTTGGGGTTTTACAGTCAGAGCTTGTCCCTTGGCACACCGGGGAGAGTGGATTGGCCTCAGCAGGTGCTGCTGTTTCTGGATTTCAAAGCAAACTCGGGCTGAGCAAGGCTGAGCTGCAGCCTGGGTACAAACTGAGGGTCTTCTGCCTCTTTTAAAATACATCCTTGAGTGTCACTGGGTAAACATTTTATTATTACTTTTCCCTTCATGCCTATAAATCTTCACAAAAATTATAGTCCCTTTCCTCCCAGCAGGAGACGAATGAAAGGAGCGCGAGGCTTTCAGGACCATTTTCCACTCACAGGGCTTTGTATTTCCCTGCCTTCCCAGATTTTGCTGTCATGAATCCTGAATTAAAAATAAAAATAAATAAATAAATAAGACAAGGGGATAGCTGGTAATGTTTCTCTTTGCTCTCTCAGTATTTCTGGCTGCTGGTGCTCTCCCGGGGTTTGGTTGGCATCGGAGAGGCGAGTTACTCCACGATCGCCCCAACCATCATCGGAGACCTGTTCACCAAAAACACGAGGACCCTCATGCTCTCTGTCTTCTACTTTGCAATTCCTCTGGGCAGGTGAGTAAGTGGCACCAAAATTCCTTGGGCCTGGTTTTTCATTTGCACTGAAATAAACCCACGCAGATCTGAGGTTGCTAATGATGATGCTTCTTGTCTTTGGTTGGAATTGTTTAGACAGGAAAATATTGTGAGCAGTGACTAATTAGTAGCAGGAATTAGATTCTTTTTCTGGCCCTGTTGCTGGTTCGTGTGTGACTTTTGGGAATTAGAGGGAAGGATTTTTTTTTTCCCCTCTTTTTTTACAGCAGTGGGGTGGAAATGGAATCAAAATATTTTAGCTGACTGTTTCTTTCAGCTGTGTTTCCTTATCAGCCCACCACAGTATCTGATTGTTGGGACAGGAGGGAATCTGTCATTATTTTTATTTTTTTAAAAATAATGGCTGACCCTCTATTGTGAGGTTGTAGGCAGGGAGGGTTTGCATACTTTGCATTCCAGTTCCCAGAGTGGGACAACATCCTGTGCAAAAGGGACATCAGGGGTTCATTTGCAGCAGGGAATAAATACATGGGTAACATGTCCCAGACTCAGGGAAAAACTTCTTGGTGGGGCATTTTACAAGTTAGAGCACTCATCCCTGAGACAAAACTCACAAACATCCCTTTGGTCTTGAGGAGAAAGAGAGAAATGGGTCCTTAATTGGTGAAAAGAATATTTTGCCAAGAGGACCAAAGATTCCAAGTATTCACATGGAGGATTCAGTGAACTATGGCTAGCAAGAAATTACAAATACTCCTCCTGTTGAGCTGATTCTGGCACCATCCGACTGCCTTGCATGTTCTTCTTGGTTCTTCTCACAAGCTTAGGGAAAGTGGTCTCTTCCTGGGTAATTAGAACCAAGTACTGTGAGTGACAAGAAAAAAATTAAATTATGAAGTATGGTGTGTCCTTGAAGGGCACTTTTTTACTGAGGGCTCGAACATAAAATTGTTTAATATTCATATTAGCACGTGGGAAATGATGTAGAAATTACACTGGGAAATACATTCCTTTTGGGGCTTTGCTTCCATCCACTGTAGATTGAAAGGTCAGCTGTAAACTTCCAAATTTCCATCACATTTGAGCAGTTTTAGATCAGCAGTGCTGGGAAGAGTCACATCTTGGCCACCATCTGCTCCGATCCCCGTGTTCCTTCCTGCGGGAGAAGAGAGCCCAGGAGCTGGTTGTGCCTCTCTTTATCTCTGTCTGAGAACAGCTGTGACTGTGCCACTCCTAAAGCTCTGACCAGCTCTCATCTTGGCATTTCTTGCAGTGGCTTGGGATACATCACTGGCTCCAGTGTGAAGCAGGTTGCTGGAGACTGGCACTGGGCCTTGAGGGTAAGTTGCTGGTGATCACGTCTTAATGGCAGTTAATTGATTGATCTGTGTTAGGAAGAGTTCCATCACACAGTTGCTCAACCTGTTATCATATCTGGAAGGTAAAGGACTGGAAATTGCAGCCCTGGATGTTCAGTGCACAGCAGATGCACTCTCTGAGCAAAGGGGAAGGGGGTGTGGGCTTGGCTTGTGGTACTTGGTGTTTTCCCTGCCTGGGAGCAAGAATTTTCCAATCTCTTTATTATCAATCAACTGTGATTTCTCGATGGGTATTGGAAGATGAGGCATTGGCCTTAAATCAACTCCACAGTCTTTCAGTCCCCTGCTGTCAAGAAACTCCGAGAATGGCTTCCTGCTTTGAGGAAAAAACACTTTGTTCCAGTTTCCGCTTGTTTTTCTGCCCTGAGACAGTCGGTTTCCTTCTATTTTAACCTCTTGGGACCCTGATAAATGTGCTGAAAAGATAATCCCCTCCAATCACATGCTCACAAACAGATCCTGCACACAAAGATGTCTTGAAAGAGCTGAGAGGAAGTGGCCCAGCAGAACTGGCTCTTGACCTTTGGTGGTGTGGGTGGCACGAGCCCCTGCGAGGTGCTTTCTCTGGCTCTGGCACTTCATGAATCCCCTGGAGCTCAGGCCAACACCAGCAGGGGATGAAACCCGTGGGTTCCCATCTCCAGAAAAGGTGCCCTCTGTGACACAGGCCGTGCCCAGGGGAGCCTGGAATGGAAAGTGCAGCATCCTGCAGCTTCACACCAGCAGGATGGCTGCATCATTCTGCAGCAGAAATTCTTGAGGGTAAAATGAACTTTTGAGCAGAGGCCAGCACAAGGAGGGAGTTCCCCAAAGCCCCTCTCCCTGCCCAGTGGGCTCTAAGGAGGTGGATGTATCGCAGAGCTCTTGTAAAACCCAAATCCATCCGTAAAACCCAAGTGGGTAACTTGTGCAAAGGGATCCTCATCAGCATTTTCCTCTTCAGGTGGTGTCTCCACAGTTATCCTGAGAAATCCAGGCCATCTGCAAGACTGTACCCTTGCAGAGTCGTGGTTTCCACTGTAAATGACACATTGGTGCATGATCCCCTGACTGGCAAATCACTGGGGATCTGATGAGCTGCACATGCCTGGGGTGGGTGCCTTGGACAGCACTGCTCAGCTTTCATAGTCACACAGCACACACTGAGAGCTTCCAGACCTCCATCAGTGCCAAGCAGTTTTCTCATCCCTGTGGCAATTACTGCGCCTCTTGCAAGATGTGAATGATTGCCCGAGGTGATGCCTCCCTCTGTGATCTCCTGTGGGCTCCAAATCCAGGAGAGGTCAGGAATAATCTGTGCTTCAGCGGGCTGAAGAAGACAGAAGGACACGTGGACAAGCGGCAGCTTTGTCTCTGGATCCAGCAGTAATGTGGGTGTTTCATGGGAGCATTGCTGAGTAATGTCCATGATATTTTCAGAGGAGATTGTCCTGGTGGGGGCTGAAACCTTTAGATAAAAATCAAGGAGACTTGAAATTGTCTTGTAATTACTAGAAAATACCAGCAATTCTGTGGTTTTTTTCACCAGTGCTGCCTTGTGTTCAGCTGTCATAAGGAAATTGTATCAGCCTTCATTTATTCCTGGATGAGGGATTTTCCTGACTTTCCAGTTCTGAAGTGCTTTTGTCTTCTCTTTCCTAGAAGAACTGTGGGTTTGTCACCTTTGGGCACGAAACGCTGCTCAGTGTGTGAAGGCCATTCTCAGGTTAATAATGGCAGCACATTTTTTTGGAACAGGGATTTGTTTTTTTAAATAGCATGTCTAAATGGGATGATAGTTCAGTGAAAATCCGTGTTCCTATTTTCCTAACGGAGCTATTTTCCATTCTAACAACAATGGAATTTCAGTGTCCGAACAAGAACAGTGCCTGTAGCCTGCAAAGCACTGTGGGATCTTTGTATTTTTGTCCAGTGCTTGGGAGAAGGGGTTGGATCCTGGGAAGCCTAACCCTGGAATGTGTCGTTTTTCCTGCCTCCCAGCCTGAATTTTCAGTGCTTCTTGGTCTGCTGAACACTGAGGTTACCTGAGGGAGATGCCTGACAATGGGAAGCCACTGTGTGTTGGCTGGAAGAAGGAGGTTGCCAAGCAAGGGTTTTCAAAGCCAGAACGATCCCTACATCCAGAAATCCTTCACCCTTGCCTTGGAAAGGCTCCTGCACTCACCCAGAAAGCAGCTGGTCTCCAAAGAGCTAAACATCACTGAAAAACCAGTATTTTGGTGAATCTTGGTACTTATTAACACAGTGGACTGCCTTAGTCAGGGATTCTCCAAGCTGCATGTTTCCAGAGTGAGAGAAGAGTGCAGGGAATGACAGGGAGGAAGGAAGGGAGCGGATGCCTCGGGTGCTCACAGATTCGGACTAGAACAGTCCCTGAAACCAAGCTGATGTCATCTGCTTCTCACTGACCAGTCAAAGCAAACCCTCCTGGACCCCTGTGCTAATCCCCTGCCCCTTTCTTGCAGGTATCTCCACTCCTGGGGATGATAACGGGGACACTCATCTTGATATTTGTTCCTGCTGCTAAAAGAGGAAATGCTGAACAACTTGGGGGGCAGCTGAAGGCTCGGACCTCGTGGCTGAGAGACATGAAAGCACTGATTAGAAAGTAAGAGCACTTGTAAAAGCCATGCTTTGCCTCTCATGCTTAATTGGAACACCCAGTGGCCTGGATTTAGCACTGGTGAGACTGCAAAGTGATGACATGCAGGGAGTTGCAGGAAGTTTAGTCTGTGGACCTGGGAAAGAAAATCACAGTTATGTGAGGTACTGACTGAGTTGATGATGCTGCATTCCAGCTTTTGCTCTAACCTTTCCAAGAGTGACATATAGGAAAGAGTCTGCTTTGTTTGGCTCACACTTCACACAGATCAAGGCTTTTTAAGTGGAGAAATCGCTGTGTTCCTGTATTAATTGTTGTGGCACTGTTGTTCAGACACTTAGATCCTTTTTCTTCCTTAAAAGAGCTGCTTTGCCATGGGGGAAAAAGAGAGTTAAATGCCAGGAAAAATTAAAGAGGAGAAAATACACAAAAGCTTACACTTCATGGCAAGTTGAAATATATGTTTACACAACCACGTGTGACTGAATCTGTGAGCACTGGATGTGTTTGGGTGCTTGTATATGTGCATAAAAGATCACAGGTGTTTTAGCAGCTGGGCTTCCCCCCAGAAAGCTGGGCTGTGAATAGGCAAATACTTGCACTAGTGAATTCAGTGTTACATTGGAATTCTGATGGGAAACTGTGGTGTCGTTCATTTTTAGGGCTGCTGGCTGGAATGCCTCCCTGATATTGTCAGGCAGTGTCAAAGAAGGACTATGAGAAGCCATGATGGATAATTTATCAATATGTCTGTGTTACTTCTCTTGGTAGTTTATGCAACTGGTAATCACATGGTGGCATGGATGGGGAGGGGGAAGTGAAATTGGTCATCCAGGTAGACAGGTGACATTAGGGTGGCAGCCCTGTGATTCACACATCGTATCTCAGGGAGTAAGTACTGATTGTCTTCTGAAACAGTCCCGTGAAATGCAGCTCTGAAGAGTCTGTACATTATGGTCAGTGGAGCATCACCTGTGAATATTCCATGCTGCTTATTCTCCAGTTCATACCCTGTGTTATCCCTGCCCTGGCAAAGGGAGGTGGCAGTGTGGGGGGCACTGTTCAGTGACGCCCTGGCTGCTGTGTGGGGCTCCTGCTTCCTCCCTATCCCCGCTAAAGCTTCCCTTGGCTCTGCCTCCGCAGCCGCAGCTACGTCTTCTCATCCCTGGCCACCTCAGCCGTGTCCTTTGCCACGGGGGCGCTTGGTATGTGGATCCCTCTGTACCTGCACAGGGCACAGGTGGTGCAGAAGACAGCAGAGACCTGCAGCTCCCAGCCCTGCGGCACCAAAGACAGGTGAGAGGCACACTCAGAGGGGGAGGAAAGGGGGTGGGGGCTGATTTACCAGAGGAAACAGGCAAGTCCCCCAGAGTCAGGTCACTAGAATGTCTGTCATTTCCTCCAGGCCCTCACAACAATGATAGGAAATGCTGGGATTGTAAACTAGGCTTTATTTCTCTTCTTCATTGCATGAAGTCAAACGAAGGGAGAAGGGATGACCTCAGCTCTCTTAGTTCCCAGGCTGGGGTGCAGGGGAGAAAAGAGACTTTTGTCTTTGCCTCAGAGGATGTTTGGAGAGCTGAGAACTTGGCTCCTTAAGACCCATCTGTGAGAGCAGCAGAATAAGCTGCAGGTTGGGCAGCCCCAGTGGTGGCTGTGATGTGGAGGTTGGAATGGTTCCCCTTAAAGCTGCAGGGACCAACCCTGGAGGCTTTTGTTTCTGTGGGAGGCAGGACTTGACTGTTCCATTGCTCTGGAAACTGCTGTGCCTGCTGAGTTGTGCTGAGGGATGTCACAGAGATCTGGGACACTCTGGGCTGAAGTGCTTGGTGCTGTGCAGTGGTTTGGCTTTTCAGTCCTGGTTATGGAATATCAGTTGCAGCACGTGAGCTGTGAAAAGTAATCCTTCATTTGTGCTCCAGCACGATGGCACAAACCAGCAGATGCTCCAAAAGCATTTGTCCAGGTAAATAAAAGATAGGAAGAACTGCCTTTTGTCAGCTCTTTTGCTCTTTAGCTCATGAGGGAAAACAATATGAGGAAAACCTTCTTGCTCCAGCTGCCATAATCCCATGTCAAGGAAACTGCTCAGTGGTTTGGTGTCCCATCAACCAGTGTCCAGCAGGCAGGCTCAGGCTGCTCTGCAAAAATGCAGTGAGCAAAAAACACAGCTCCAGTCTGCCCATCTGCTGTTTACAGAGAGTTTTCCCCTCCTTGATGACACCTCGATTTTGGGCTGCCCCGGAGCTGCCCTAATGTGGTTGCCAAAGGCTCTGGAATCCAAGTGCTGCACACACAGGGCAGACAATCCTTGACAGCTCCTGGCTCTTTTAAACTGAAATTAGCACATTTCAAGAGTGTAACCCAACAGCAAAAGGCTCCTTTGAAGTGGTCTGAAAGGAGCTATGAAGTCAAGGTATGTTGAAAATCGTGGTATTAAAGAGTCTTATTAGGTTTCCTTTCCCTTAAGCTTCCTGGTGCCCGTTCTGTCCGTGATTTCCCATTACATGATCAGCGTGCAGGTTATTAGTTAGTTTTGTGCATGCAAAATGAGCTGTTTTAGGAAAGTCTCCAGGAAGTTCAGTTCCCCCCAAAGCAGCAGTGTGAGCCCTTTGCCCAGGGACCAGTGCTGAGTTTCACGTGCTTAGTTTTTCTGAATCACAGGGAAAGAGGGCTAAAACCACCAGCACTCAGCAAGGGGACCTCTTCTAATTCTTTAATTTTTAAATCCATTTAAATATTTTTAAAATTTTAAGTCCTTTTTTTTTTTTTTTTTTTTTTTAATCCTATTTTTAAAAGCTTAGTTTTAAATCTGCAAATCGCCGGTCGGTGGCTCACCCGAACAATTTGGCCGTGCCCACTTTTGGGGAAAACTCAAAAAAAAAAACAAACCAAAAAACCACCTCCACACCTGTCTGTTATTTTTGGTTTTTATATAGTTTTATTTTTATTTCCCAGCTTGATCTTCGGGGCCATCACGTGCTTCACCGGCTTCCTGGGTGTCATCACAGGGGCAGGGGCCACCAAGTGGTGCCGGCTGAAGACGCAGCGGGCAGATCCCCTGGTGTGCGCCGTGGGGATGCTGGGCTCTGCCATCTTCATCTGCCTCATCTTCGTGGCTGCCAAGAGCAGCATCGTGGGAGCCTATGTAAGTAAGATCCTCTCCCTGTCCCCTGCAGATGCCTGAGCTGTTGTGTTGCTTCTGCTTTTGGTGTTTTGGCCCAGGCTGGGTGTGCCTGGTAGCTCAGCTGCTCATCCCTTCTCGCTGACTGTCATCAGCCATGGCCACCCACGGGTCTGTTCTGTCTGTACCTCAACCCACACCTCTTTTTATTGCTCTTACCTAATGTGTTGGTACAGGACAATTGACCACTTGCCTTGCAGTGAGGGTATTGTAGCTGCTGCAGTGGCACCAGGTTATAATTACGGTGTAATTTGTTTGTGGGCATGCTTTTGTGGGCCTGTAAGTACCAGTCATTTGCATAACTGGGTAGATTGCAGCAGACCAGTATTAATTCCTGGGTGATTTCAGTGTGCTGATATCTGTGTTCCCATAGCCCCAGTCACAGCCCAGGAACACACAGGGCTGGATGCTGCACAAATGCAGATTAAAGCATGGCCCCTCCCTGAACGTTTCTAATGGAATTATACAAAAATATTAGCAAATAGGTGCAGGCAAATAGAATCATAGAATGGTTTGGGTTGGAAGGGATCTTTAAAGGTCATTTAGTCCAACCCCTCTGCACTGTGCAGGGACGCCTTCCACCAGCCCAGGTTGCTGAGAACCCCTGGAATGTTCCCAGGAATGAGGCAGCCACAGCTTCTCTGGGCAACCTGTGCCAGTGCTTTACCACCTTCTTTGTAAAAAACTCCTTCCTTATATCTAATCTAAATCAACCCTCTTTTAGACTGAAGGGAAAAGGAAAAGCTCAACTGTAATAATCCAGCCCTGGGCTAAAATCTTGCCTTCAGTAGGGAGTGGAAATTCCATCACTGAACAGGTCCTGGGTTCCCTTTTAATATCACAGAGAGAACCTGTGGGGTTCTGGGTGGGTTCAGGGACATGAGGGAAGTTTCTGAAGGGAAAGCACGAGGTGTTTGGAGTGGTGGGATCCCTTGGGAAAGCCCTCCCTCAGCCTCACACAGAGCAGTGCACACTCCACCCACAAGGAGAATTCACCTACAGTTAACCAACCAGCTGCTAGTCCTCATTTCTCTGTATTTCTGGCACTGGCCTGGCCATGGTTATTTGGTGAGTATTTCAGTACCTGCCATGGTTATGAGGAAGCACAAGAAGAAAGAGTGACAGTTCAAAGTGATTAAGACAGGACCCAGAATGTCCACCCTGGCTGTTTAGAAAGTGCCAGAAGGAGATTCAGGTCTCTGGTTTGTGGCCTGGGCTAGAACTGACCTTCAGTTGAGCAGCAAAATGATCACCTCAGACAACCTGGGAGAGGCTCTTACTGGTTGGTGAAGCATTAACATTTCATTGTCAGCTGTCTCTGAGTGAAGATCCATCACATCCTTCACCTTCTCCCTCCCCTCTTTGTGATTTTCTCCTCTCTCAGACCCAATGACATGTTCATTTGTGGTGTTCAGCCTCTCTATGCAGAAACCCCTCCATTTCTAAGCTGGAAGTACTCTTCAAAAATTGTGCAGCCAAAGGTGGCCATTGATCTCATTTTTATCTTTTTTCTTTTTTTCTAATAGCCATGCAACTGTTCTGCACTGTATAAGCATATAAATATGGATGGTATTACTTAACCAATCTTAGAAACAATTTATTTTATTGTGCATGGTCAGTAAATCTAATAAAGAGTTGATGATTTGCAAAGGGAGTTATGGCTGCATATGGAGGGAGTGTGAGGAATTTGAGCCAGTCTGTGAGCCCTTGGATTTATAGGGTTTATTTTTGGGGGGGAAAAAACCTGCACATCCATGAGCATGATCAGCCTGGCCCTTACATGCTCTCTGCTCTCTTTCTCCCCTGAACACATGTACTTTTTCTCCCTTGCTCACTCTTGCAGGTGGTTTTGGTCCCTGGGGGCAGCTGCCATTCCACTTCTGTAGCAGCCATTCCTACGGAGACAAATTACCTTTTTCCATCCAATCTTTTCATATTAATCCACTCAATTATTGGCAGTGGTAGAAGTGGCTAGCAAGGTGGAATAAACCAGTTTTCTATGTCACTTTGCTTCCCAGACACTTGTATTTCTCTCTTTTACCATTTTGCTTGGCTGTATAGTTCAATCAGTTCTTATTCAGCTTTCCTTGCAGTGTGTGTTGCAATCCAGCTCCTTAAAGCACTGATTTGCACATCTGCAGGTCCCCACTCTTTCTGAAATATGTTCTCTTTGGAACCTTGGTTTTCAAACCTGTCTCTGGGAACCCATTATCTGCGTGACATCATCGTCTCACCCAGCTCAGACACTTCAGCTGCAGATTTTACACTCCTTTAAATCTCCAGATGACTGCAGAGAGATGCTTTGCTTCTCCTTCCTCTTGACACTGTTCCGAGTTCCTCAATCTCAGCATCTATTTCCATCCCTCAAAGGCGTTTTATGAGCTCGCAGAAACAGCAAATCCCAGGGTAAAACCTCCCCCTGGGGCTTTTCCAGCATCTCAGTCTCAGCTCCAGGGACTTTCTGTTGATGTGGTGTTGGTGACCTGCCTATTGCTGAGGCATCAGTGTTGCTCAGCACTGAGCTGGAGTGGGAATTGCTCCACATCCAAGGGGACAGGAGGGTGTCTTACCCACCCTTTCAGAGAGAAATACAGATAATGAAGATGCTGACAGATACCGTGGAAGGAGTTTGTAACCTGCTCAGGTCTTGCTGTGAGAGCTGCTGGTGGGACCACTCTGGAACCTACTTAACTGTAATTTTTGGGAATCAGAATTTGCCAACTCACTTAAACAGAACGGCTCGAGGGGGACATAACTTCTGTCAGCTCAGCACAGATGGACAACAACTGGACACCAAAGGGAGATGGTGGGATATGACACAGCTGGAGTCAGAAGAGAATGTTTTCACAGAGCTGAAATCTCAGTGCAAAGTGAGACTTCAAAAAGTGTGTGAGGAGTCAAAACCACGAGCGTTTCAGGAGCCATTGATCTGCTCTGGAGCTGCCCTATTTGCAGGAAGCATCCCTAGAGTTCTCTCCCCAGCACTAACATCACATATCCTCATTTGCCCTTTGCAGTGCCTGAACTCATTTTTATAAATCCCCATTAGCAGCTGAGGGACGGACATTTTTTTTAATGTCAGTATCTTTTGTCCCACTTTTTGATCCTCCTCTTGTTCCTCTTCTCCTTTTATCAGTAGCCACACATCAAGCACACGTTCATGGAACGGGTGAAACACACATTCAGCACCTGAGAACTGGTGCACTCTAAAGTCTGGAGCATATCAGTGATTTGTTTATAGGACTTTAATGGGAATATAGGACTTACAGGAATTCAAGTGAATTCCTGCACAAGGGGCAGGTCCTCCTTGCTGCCTGTGACAGTTCACACAGGTATATAACTCACACGACCTCAAGGCAGGCAGCTGCCTGTTTGCAGTGTGTGTGAGCAGGAAGGGCTTGTTGGTGCTGAATTTGGAAGTGTGATCCCGTCTTTGCCAGGCTCAGTTTGATCCAGCCAGCCACAGAAGCCCAGCAGCAGCAAAGCTGTGGCAGGACACGTTTCAGAGCAGGACTGAGAGCTCTGAGAAGTCCTTGCTGTGGGTTCAGCTCCTGTCAGCACCTTGGTTCAGTGGCTCTGGGTCCTGGGCTTGGCAGTTGGCATTCCCAAGTCCAGGGCAGAGCAGGACAGTGGGAAGATGGGAATGGAGGTTTCCTTGCTGACCAACTGGGCTGTGATGACTGGCTCGGACACCATCCCAGAGGAGGCAGATCCAGTCACAGAGAGAGGGGACAGGGAGGGAAAATGAGTGGGAAACAAAGGCAGTTTTAGAAACAAATAGAGGAAGCTCCTGTAGATCGGTGGGTAAGACTTGCTAAATAAAGCCAATTGTTCCCGGCAGTGACATGATGGTCTGAGGGGTTTAGGGAACCTCAACTGGTGCGTGGGAAGGACAGTGACAGTGGCCACATCATGCTGTAACTGCCACTCTTGCAAGAGTTCCTTGGCTTTTGGTGCTTCTTGCTGACCATCCCCAAAGATCCAGGGTTGTATTTCACCACAAGGCACTGGTGTTGCCAAGCCCATAATTAATTCCTGCCTTGACCGTACACAGATGTCACCCATGGGGAGGGAAGGGATCCTCCACCTCATCTGAGGTGCTACAGATTTTAACACATAACTTGGTTCCCAGTGATGAAAATGTCTGTGCCTTGGGGAGTTGGGGCCTTCTTGCCTTATCTGACTGGCTTTTTGGAACAGAATGGTGCAAGTTGGACTCGATGGCCTTGAAGGTCTTTTCCAACCTCAACAATTCTGATTCCAGGTATGGAAGCCCAGGGCTGTCTGTCCTTTCTGCTTTCTCATGTTCTGCTGTAACCAGATGTGTTTTAGCTGCTCTGTAGTTCACAAACTTAGTTAGTATATACTTAACAAAATTGCAGGTCAACCCTCTAGAGCTCTGATACAAAGCTATGGTTTGCTCATGTTCAGGATAAACCACAACAGTAACAAGGAGTGTGTTGTGTAGGTGAGAGACAAATAAGCAACAGAGGCAAGTTTGGGACAGGTTATTTTCCCTCTGAATGTCAAGTGAATAAATCTTTCTCCTTTTTGTGTGTTTTGTTACAACAGATTTGCATTTTTATCGGAGAAACTCTTCTGTTTTCAAACTGGGCTATCACAGCAGACATTCTAATGGTGAGTGCACTTTGGAACAGCATCTTTTGGTGTTCAGAGCAGTTTATGAGCCTGCAAGAACAAGCTGAAATTCACAATTTCTTCCAAATCCTGCTTCTGCCTATTCTGGTTTTTTTGTTACTAAGTGACACATAAAGAGAGACAGAAAAAAAGATTCTTCTTGTCCTTTGTTGTGAGCACCAGGGAAAGGAGATGTCCAGAAAGGGCAACATTCAAATAATTTCCCCCAATTTGAAGTGTTTGTGCAGAGCCCCCACAGGCACAGAATTCAGCCAGAATTTCCCAGCAGTTCATGGGTTTCGTTATCAATAACTCAGCTTTGTTCTACCATAGCAAATCCTTCCCTCTCTCCCTCCCTTGACCACAAAGACAGCCCACCTACCTACCATTCAACACATCCACAATAGGAACCCACCTCTGGGAGATCAGAGAGGAAAAGAAAGGAGAAGGAATTTTTGGACTGTGTCTACCTTGCCCAAGAGGAAACTGGCGGGGACTTTTCACCTCATGTCTTTAATTTTTGCTTCCTTCTCCACCACAGAGCTTTTTAAGCCTTTCAAATCAGCAAGTTGACCTCAGCAGCCCCATTTTCACATGAAATAGCGTGGACATTTGTTCAAGAGCCTGGTGTGTTTTGTGGAGGCTCCATCAGAGCTGCACAGAGCCCATCAAACATAACGTGTTGAAGCCCTGTTGTGAAGGAGGCGTTGCTGATTGTAGGGAAAAGAAAGGCACTAAGGCACAGAACCATTACAGGACTTGCCCGAGGTCTTTTGCCAGCCTGTTGACAGAACTAAAAATACAATCAGTCTGGCATCAACAGAAAACTGCCTTGACTTGTATTTGTTGCTTATGCAAACATCAGGGAGGAAACAATCAGGCTCGGTGCTCCGAGATGGAAAGATAGTGGCGTTGATGTATTGATTGAGCACAGAACTTCAAGCCTCTGCTTTAGCGGTGTTTGTGTTGGAGTTCAAGGTTTGTTTGTGTGTTGGAACGCTGTGGTGGGTGGTTAATTCCACGAGTCCCAGATGGGAGTAAACACAGAGAAATGAAGGTCGTCGGGGCACTTTGGTAGCACTTGGAGAGCCTTTAATTCGCGGGGTTCGTCGCTCCTGCCGGTGCGGCTGTGCCGGGACGGGGCTCAGGGCGGCGCTTCCCGGGAATGCCGCGGGGTTTGCAGCTCGGGCCCAGTTCAGGGCTGCTCGTTCATGCAGGGGGATGTCAGCGCTTGGACAGATGTGCAGCCTCCAGACCAGCTGTGCTGAGGAACAAGTGACAGTGCAGTATGTGTAGCTGTTCGTTCCTGCCTCCTGCCAGAGCTTCCTGGCGCATCCTGCCTCTGGCTGGGGCGATCCCGGTTCTCCCCACTCGGGATTCACGGATGGGTTTAAGTGGCAGCTGTCTGTACCCTCACTGGCATTGGCTGGCTCAGGTGAGGGCTCAGCCAGCAGCACATCTGCAGCTCTCAGAGCAGCTGAGGGGGTGTCTCTGCTCAGCTCCTGTCAGACGTGCCAGAGGGACACCTGAAACGGGGCCTCTGTTGTCTCAAGCCAACCCCAAAAGATATTTTTCAACCGACTGCTCTGTTATATCAAGGGTATTAGGGCTGCATCACTGTCCTGTTTTAATGACTCAGATCTTTTTGTGTTGATTTCAGTGGGACTTCAGTGTCCCATAGCTTTTTAACAGCTTTTATAGGGTTTGCCATCTGCCTTACCAGCATCCTATAGTCCCTTGCATTTTGTAGGGATGCATTTGCTGTTATTTGCTTTGCTCTAGTGCAAAAGGACTCCATGAGAAATGACTGGAAGCAATAGTTCCATTTTCCAAAACAAAGGAAAGAAATCAAAACCCTGTTAGAAGCTGAATTTTGGTCATTGCTGCCAACTCTTCAGCTCACTGTTCTCTGGTCTGTTTAAAAACCTGAACTGAGTGTCATAGATAACGCCCAGCTTGAGGCACTAACAGCACCGGTGGACCTGTGAAAGTGTTGAAGAAAGAAGTGTAAACACCATTTAGATGAGTGCAGGGCTGCAACCAGACAGGCTGGATGCAGGGGGATCACCCGAGGGGGTGGGAGGGTGTTTAGGCTGTCACTGGGGGAGAGCCAGGGCTGGAACCACCTTTGAGTGACAGCTTTGTGGGAAGGCCTTGCCAGGGGAAGGTGTGGATATGCTTTAGCAAGATGCACTTCAAATGTTTGGCAAATTAATTTCTGCTGATTACTATTTATTTGGTGTAATCAGAAGTGTGCTGTTCTTGCCTGGGGCTGGGAAGGAGTTTAAAAGCATTATTAGCGTGAGCTTAACAACACTTTCATCCTATACGTAAATATTACCCTGTTTTCATGGATAAAAGCTCTCAATACTGGCTGAGCACTGTTCCTGCTGATCTCATCATGCCAGGAGTGGGGCTTTTTGGAAGCTGCATCCCAGGTGATTCCTCACAGCTCTCCCAAGATTTACAGATCTCAGGGCTGCTTAAGAACCCTATTGGGCAGGTTGTTGAGCATCTCTAGAAGCTTTACAAGTTTAATTTCTGTGGCAAAACAAGGATGTTTGCTTATTATCTTCCAGTTTAATTGCTGGCTGTCCCTGGCTTCATGCTTCCCCTGCATCTGCTGTGCCTGCCCCGGGGACGGGTCGCTGTGTGGCTGTGTGGCTCCTTGTCCTGCCTGCAGTCCAAGGTGCTGGCTCTGATAAAACTGCCAGTGCTGCAGAGTGTCCTGCCCTGCCTGAGATTTTTTGAAAGGCTGATATATTTGTTCCAAATGCAGATTTGTACAAAGCAGGCCGTGTTCTCCTGAGCACGGCCCTCCAGATCTCCTCCCAGGCACATGCTCAGACGGAGCTCGGGGAAAGGGGGGGATGTTTTGTGTGGAGCATGCTAATTATGAAACAGATTCCATCAGCCATCTTTGCAAATTGGCCTTAAAATTACCAGACCCCCAAAGTAGCATTAAAACTGCCTTGTAACAGCAGTGATGAATGAGCTTCAGTGCAGCAGGCGAGTGTCTAGCAGGATGAGACGTGGGGAGCGCTTGGGACTTTGTGGAATCTGGTCCTTCCAGTGGGGTTTTCCCTCCACAGCACATCTCAGAAATAAAGATGATGGACAGAGGCTTGGTGGCATTGCTGTGTAAGAGCCAGGAGGCAATTTAAAGGGCCTCAGCTGTTTCAATCCCAACCTCTTTAGGTCTTCGCTGAGCAAAGCCATCCCCCGGTTTATGCACGCTCCTGACACTCGTGCAACACAACATTTCTCTGCATATTTCTGTTTTCTTTTAAAGCATTAGTCCTTTTTAAATGGTCATGACCTGCTGTGGAGGAGCTGCTGTGATGTTTCATTGTAGAGTCAGTCTTTCTTTTAGGCTAGAAACAGGCACAGACTGGTGCTCAGCTGTGCCACGGGCATGGAGGAATGTTGCTTTTGTCCTGATTACCTCCCTATAAATAAACCCCAGTTATTTATTTAGTCCAAAATGCTGCCCTAATTTTAAAGCTGAAGATAAATGGCATTTCCAGAAGCTCTTGCTGGTGCTTCTCTCAGTGCCTCCACTCAGCAGTGCCCAGAGTTAGATCCGAAGGCAGGATGAGAAGTGCCTGGAATGAGGGTACAGCCCATTCCAAAGAGCCCAGGGCTGCAGGAGGGGGTGCACTGGGAGCTGCAGACCAGGCCAGCCTCCTTTTACTTCATTCGGGAGTATTTTATTAGTCAGTGGCTGCCTGGTTTTTGTCTCAGGCTGCTCTCTCTGCATCCCAGCCTTTCCCTTCCTGAGCGCAGGGACGACAGGGACACCTGGGCTATTCCCAGTGGCTGGAACAGGGTTAGTTTGTGTTTTCTTTGCCTTCAGTGCTGAGGGTATGAATTGTCCTGACCCAGAAAGTAGTTTAGAGAGTAGAGTTTCTATCAAAGCTTAGACATAAACACCACAACTCACCTCTCTGGCACGTGGCCTTTTTTTGGGAGAAGAGTGATCCCCCCCTTGGCTTTCCCAGTTAACTTAGTTCAGAGCAGCTTCCTGCTTCCCTCCCAGGAAGGAGGTGTCAGCAGCAATCCATGGCCTCTCTGAACCTTTATTACAGAGCAGAGGTTCCCAAAGCTGCTGGCTCAGCCTCCCTGCCCATCCTGTGTGCTGCCTGTCCCTGAACCTGGGCTGAGGGATGAGCCAGCTGATCCCACAAGGCTTCCACCCTGGCTGCTGTGGCTCTCCCACCTCCAGCTTCTGTGGCATGTCCAAACCAGGCTGGGGATGGTTTGAATTTAGGCCTTATTTTAGTATCAAAATGCCCGTTTAGAGCTGTAATTTACTGCTGTCTGCCTGGAAGAGGAGACAATGTTTGCTACCAACTGCTTCCTGTCCATCAGGATAAAATGCTTTTTAAGCAGGGATAGGGTGGAGTATTTTTGGTGTTTTGGGAGATGCTGGTTTAAGCTTTTTTTTTTCCCCTCCTCCCAATATCCTTGTAGGGGAGGACAAAAAATCTTGTATTCAATGGCTTGCCACACGCTGGGTTTTAGGTTTGAGTGGGCTCTTTGTCTCTGAATTCCAGGCTAAATTTAATAAGTTCTGGCACTTCACATTGTTTCAGCTATCAATACCTTCTTCAGCTAGGCACACTGAAAACATGCTAGAAACTGCTGCTTGCCAAATTATATCTGCATAATACAGCTACACGTGCAAAATTATGTCTAATATAAGTGTGAGTATTTGTGTGTATAAATATATATGTGGATAGATGTGCACACAGACATATGATACAGGTATCATTCAGATTTCTTCCTTCAGCTGGCGCCAATTCGCTGCCACTCCCTGGAAATGGTAAATTTTTAATGAATGTGCCATTTCCTTTGCCCTTTGGCTAAGAAAATCAGTATAATACAGGGCCAGGCAGGCTTTCTTCTCCAGATTTGCTGACAGAAACTTCACAGAAAGAGAAATGCTTTAGGTTTAAAATCCCCTGTTTCCCAGATGCACACACAGCTCTGGATTCTTCAGTTAGGCAGAATTTCACTGTATCTTCTCAGATGCCTTTTCCCAAACAGCCTTTCCAGAATATTTCTCCATTGCCCCTTTGTGAACTGGGGCCAGGTGGGGAAAACAACAATAACTCACTCTTAATTCCTCTCTTCTTCTGTCTGATCTCTGCAGTTTGCACCGATTTTCCTGCCCCTTTGGGGGGAGTGGGAGTGAACTGTGGGGCTCTCCTACCGTTCACAGCACGTTTTTGTGTCTCCAGTAAAGCCTAGAGCTAATTTTCCCCTCGGGATTTCTTTCTCTGAGCTCCTGGATGCAAAAGGAGGACGGGGTCTGACATCCCCCAGCTGGGTGGCTGCTGAGGACCTGAACATCTTTTGCTCTTTTATTGCACAACAGGAGTTTAACAGGGGGCCTGTTCCATACAAGGCATCAAAGTGCATTAGCAGTTGTGCATTTGCAGCTTTGTCAAAGCAGGGATGAAAAGGACTGGCAGGTCCCTCTGAAAGCACGTGGCAAAACCCTGAGGAAAAGCGTTTAATCTCATTTTACCCATCGCTCGGAATTGTCTGTGCTGGGTGATCATTCTAAACAGGCAGCAGATCTCTTCTAGGGTGGGTTCTCTCAGTGCTCTTTCCTTTCTTGCTGGTTTTTGTGGCTCATCCTTCCCACTGCAGACAGGGCAGCTCCCCTTCCCAAGGAGGAACGTGCTCACCCTGAGTGAGCTCTCCTGCTCAGGGAACGGATCTCCCTCTCTCTCTGTAGCCCTGGCCAGTCCTAAATGTCACTTTTAATTAATAAATGACTGCAGGAAAGAATTGCAAGGATGAGTTGAAGCCCTGGCAAGGCACAAGCTTTCTAAAGAAAGGCTGAAGGCAGCCCATCAGAGGGAAAGTGGACAAATAAAAGAGGGATCATGGTCCACAAATAGCTGACCAAGAGTCACTCCTGGCAGGGCACTCGGCTCTCCAGAGCCACAGGAAAAGGCTCAGTGAGAGTCAGTGCTTAGAGGCAGAAGCAAAGCTCACTTGGATTTAGAGACCTATTGAATTCTTCATTACTTCCAGCCTTTAAATCAAGACAAGATCAATTTATAAAGCGGGATTTGTGGACTGGCTGCAGATGTCCTGAGCCAGCTGCTTTCACAATTTAGGCAGGAGGTGTGTTATAAAATTAAGGTATTTTCAAATTAAGGATGGGGGGTTGGTTTGTTTTTTGTTTTGTTTTGTTTTTCCTTTTTTTAATCTTTCATCCCTTTCCCTGGTGAGAGCTCTGCTTTCTGTGAGCTCTGCTCCCCTCATGGGGAAGTAATTTGTGTTTTCCACTGCTCCTGTGTAGTCTGACTGATTCTGCATGACCTGGCTAAGGGTGTCATGTCCTATTAGGGGAGTGGAGACCAAACTACAGTGTCTTGGATGTGGAAAATTTTCCTACCAGTGTGACTTTGTCTCTTTTCACAAGCGGAATCACAAATTTTTGAGGAAAATACAAAGTGGCTGGAGGAGGAGTGGGGAGGGAGGATGTGACCTTTCACAGTGATGTGGATTGCTGGTAGTTTAGGAAACAAAATGACCACTTTATAAGATGAATACAATATACAACATGAATACAATATGAATATACAATACAACATGAATAAACCCAACATCCCAGGTTACAGCTCAGTCCTTGTTTGAAGGCTGGTGGTGCTGAGCAACCCCGAGCTTCACCCTCCCCATCAGCAAAGCAAAACACAGGCTTTATAAAAACACAGGCTTTATAAAAATACAGGCTTTATAAAAACAAAGGCTTTATAAAAATACAGGCTGAGGGGCAATAGCAGAGTGTGTCCTGGGCAAAGTGCTGCTGAGAGGACTGGACAGAGTCCTTCCCTCAGCACCTGCCATCAGGAGAACTCCAGAGCCAGGGAGGGAATCCGAGCTTCCCCGTTGCCATGGAGTGGCCAGTGGCTCTGTGTGCCACCAGCATCTGGGGCAGCTGGTTTCCTCTGTGCTGCCCTGGGTACAGACTGAGCAGCGCAGGACAGCTGGGCAGGTCCTTAACTTCACTTTTCCTTATCTCTTTTTGTTTCTTCCCCTCCTCTGCAGTACGTGGTGATCCCAACCCGCCGGGCGACCGCAGTGGCCTTGCAGAGTTTCACTTCACACCTCCTGGGAGACGCTGGCAGTCCTTATCTCATTGGATTTGTAAGTGCTCACAGCAGGCTCTGGCAGGGCTGCCTGCCCGGGTTTGTTTCTGTTTGCTAACTGCTCGTCTCCAGTGCCAGGTTAGATCGTGCTGGGCAGGGCTGTGCTGGGGAGCAGGATGGGAAGGGGAGCAGAACAGTGTGACTGTTGGATGGGCTGCACTTCAAACCTGGGAGGGGCACGGGGGGTGAGACATGAGCTCCTACATTTTTTTAACCTCAGGCACTTACCAAGCTTATGGGCAGCTCTGTAAAGAGAGAGTGGTGCTTCTGTGGTGTGGACAAGAGTCGTGTGTGTGTGTAACTGTTAATGTGATAAAATTAAAATTAAATCAGATAACTGCTTATGGGCAGCAACATGCAGCTGTCCTGCCCTGCTGATATTATGTACCTGTTTATATGATGGTTGATTGTAGAATTACAGAATACCCTGAGGTGGAAGGGACCACAGGGATCATTAACATCCACAGGACACCCCAGCAATCCCACCCTGTCCCCAAAAGTGCTGTCCAAACGCTCCCTGAGCTCTGGCAGCCTTGGGGCTGTGCCCACTGCCCTGGGGAGCCTGTTCAGTGCCAACCACCCTCTGGGGGAAGAACCTTTTTGTGAGATCCAACCTGAACCTCCCAGTGATGTGTAAAACCCAGGGCAGGATGGATGTGTGTGTGGTTTGGGGTTTTTATTAGTGTTCTTCTGGGGTGTTGTTCTTTTCTGTGACTGCTGCAGTGGTTGGCCTTGGTCTGTCTGGGAATCTCCCTTCCTGTGCCCCCATTGTCCTGGTGCAGAGAGCAACAAAAGACCCAGCTCCAAAATCTGGCATCACAGTTGAAAATGTAAAGCCTGGGAAATTTAATGAGGAGGGGGAAAAAAAATCTAGATATAGCAGGGAAATTTCTTTTCCCTTCTGCAGAGTTTGATGCCTTGAGAATGAGAGATCACAGATAATCATTTGTGAAATCCATCTGCTTCCACACAAATCCCTGAGGGATGCTCAGGGGGTGTTGAAGGTGCAGCTGTTTCCCAGTGGTGTAACTGGGATCTTCACTTGTCCCATCACCTGAGAAGACAGAACTGTGTGACCTGGGTGCTGGGGGTTTTTTTGTGTTTTTTAAAACCCTCATTTCTCCATCGATTCATCCTGTCAACACTGGTGTGTGCACCTATACATGTGTATTTATATATATATATATATATATATATATTTAACTTTGTGAGTACATCTATTTAAATATACATAAATACTTACTCTTGAATGGCAGCTCCCCTGTAGCCCCCTGGAACACACGTGAAAAGGCAGGTAGAGATAAGGCTGAAAAGACCAAAGGAAGGAGAAATGTCTCAAGAGAATTAAAAAATGCACAATTTAGCTTACTCTTTATTTACTTCGGTGTTCTGGGTACCCAGGGAGAAGGGAGCTTATTTTAGAAATTATTTGAAGGTGGCAAGAACAAAGGAATTGCTGGAAGAGTGGGGAATGTGGAGGAGGAGGATGAAACAAGCAGGGCAGGGAGCTTTGAAGGCTGGGGATGAGGGCAGGGCTGGGGCAGGCCAGGCTGCCTCAGGTGACTCTGCTACATGTTCATCCTTTTTCTTATGTAAAAGGGGTGTCCAGGAGGAATACCAAGGACCCTGAATGATTGCAATTAATCTTGAAAGTTGCCTAAGGCTCTTTAGTGTCATAGATTAAAAAAAAAAAAAAAAAAAGGTCTTCAGTTGTAGAAATAATGTGCCTTGCCCTTCTGGTATTCAGAGATCAAGCAAGTTGTGAGTTACTTAAGGATGCCTGGCTGAAACATGCACAACCCCAATTTAATTTAGCTGCCTCAGGCTTTCTTCAGGCTGGGAAAACATGAATTATTATTTTGAATTATCCTTTTTTAAGGCTGTAATTGTTGGGCAGTTGTGATTTGGGAGGAGAGTCCTCAAGCCCAAGTCTGTGTGGCAGGAGAGCAGGAGTGAAGGATTGTTTCATGGCAGGATCCAGCATCCGTTTGTGCAGCCTCTGCACTGGCTGGACTTATCTTCCCTCTGCTGCAAGGACTGAAAGGTGCAGTGCAGCTCCCACACAGCACAGGGAAACAAATCCTCATTCAGGTGACAGGACAAACAGCCAACTCCTCCGGCAGAGCCAAGGCCAGCCATCAGCTGGAGTGTTAAAAACCACTGGAGTTGTCCAGCTGCAGTGCAGGGTGGAGACCTTCCCGAGGGATTAAAACCTCACCTGGGCAGGTTACAGAAGGGGCTTGGATTCTGACCAGCATTTGCAAGGCAGTCTGTGAGGGCTCAGCAACCTGCTCCTGTCAGCTCCGAGGGAAATTTGGAAACCCAGTTCCCACAGTTGTGGGAATCCCCAGCCTGAGGGCATCACCTCCCACTGCTGTGGCTGCAGAGTTCCCAGGGGGGAGGTTCTGAAGGAAACCTGTGTTTGGCCATAGGTTGGACTCGATGATCTTGGAGGTTCCTTTCCAATCTGAACCCCTCTGTGGGTCTGTGAACTGCACTGGCAGGCTCAGATTGGGTGGAACATGTTGCCTCCTGATTACTCGGGCTCACCCGAGATCCTGCAGCTCTGCTGTGTCTTCTGACTGCTCACAGAATCCTCACTGGGTGATCAGGGGTTTGATCTAACATGGGGTGGAATCTTCCATGGGTTTGGTGAGATCACAGTGAGGTTCCCTCTAAGAGTGCTCTCAATAAAGAACCAGATCCCCGTGGCCCTGCAGGACTGAGCTGGGGCAGGCAGTGGTCTCTGCTGGGTGCCAATAAATGTTGTACTGCTCTTAAAATCCTCGTGTGGAGCACAGAGGGTGCTGATCAGCTGCAGCCTCAGGGGTGTGATTGCTGCCATACTCTGGGGTGTGCCCTGAGAGCTCAAGGTCAGACTCAGACTTTCTGTAGCTCCCCCATCCCACATCACACTGCAGCTCCTTAGAACCACCCAAACCCCATCGGTGATCAAAAGCCAAGAGGCAGGGAGCACACGTGTGTGGCTATTTTTCATGTCTCTTTAAATATTGATCACTTTTTATTATGGTAAAAAGGCTTAAGACTGACTTACAAAGGCGTTATGCAAATGCAGCTTTAGGGTGGCAGCTGTGATTTGCATAAGGCTTTTCTACCTGCCAAGCCCTGAGATCAGTTACTGTAAATCAGCACTGCCTGTTCATTCACAAATAAGAATAGGCTTTGCTGTGCTATTTCATTAGAGGAGACAGCTTTTATTCCTAGAGAACTGTAACTTTTTTCAGGACCTTCGTGATAACCAAGGTGCAGAGTTTAAATAGTTCCAGTTTAACAGCTCAGAGTTGTCACTCCATGCTTTATTCTTGAGGTAGTGGGTGAGGAAATCTCACCTGCTCAGGGCATTACACCCAAATATCTCTAGGACTTTCTGTCTTTAACAGCTCTCACTGTGCACAGAAGAGTTAAGGGAAATGCCCCAAATCCCACTACTCTTGTTGAGGATCAGATAAGCTTTATGCTCTCCCTGTGCCCTGGACAGCAATTCAGACTCAAAGAGCTGAGTGGAGTGAGGCAGCAGCACCCATGAAACGGTTCACTCTGCTCAGGCTGCATCGCAGCTCCAGTTCCTTATGTTACTAATTCTGGTTAGATTTTTGGTGCCCTTTAAAATGAGACAACTGTAAGACACGGCAGTGAGTCCCTGCTCCTGTGTCCACCTGTGCACGTGGATGAACCTGTCATCCCCGCTCAGGGTTTGCATTATCCTTCACACCACTGCTCCGCTGCCTGACATTCCCTTTTCCTTCAGGAAAAAAATGAGCACAGGCAAAGTTTGATTTGTATTTTTAGGCTGTGGCCTGGGGCTTTTTTTTTTTTTTTCCTTCCTCCAGATTTGTGATTTGCTTCCTACCTGAGCACAGCAGTGCTTTCCTCTCCCACCCTTGCCTTGCCTGTGGCTGTGATGAGAAAGGGGCACCTCCTGCAGGCACTGCTCCCTCTACACTTGCCAGGGCAGTTGCTGTGTGGGCACACACTGTCCTCATTGCCCAGCTGCTCTTGGCTCTCCTGCCTGCTTAAACTCTCCCTCATCCTCTCTGTGCAGCCATCCATCAGCTCTAGGGGTAGGAACCTCTCTGTATCCACTTGTCACCTGGACACCTCAGCCCGTGAGGAGGGTGTTTGAAAGCGCCACAGGTCAGCTCTCCTCCACCTTTTGATGGGCTGAAAGCTCTTCCCCGGGCTCCTCTGATGGTGGTTCCCACCTGTCCTGACCTCCTTGGCTCCTGCTGTTTCGGTGTTACTGCAGGGACATCACCCCCAGCCCCTCCAGGGTGCAATTCCAGTCAGGCAGTGGGAGCTTTTCACCCCTCCCTTTTCTCCCTTCCCTTTTCTCCCTTCCCCAACTCTCCTGTGTGAGCAGGTTGATAAACTAAATCTAATGAGCTACTTAAGCAGCAAGAATGCTAATGACCTTCCTTTAGCAAGTAGTTAGCAGAGCAGTGTTAATTATCCCTGGTGCAGAGTATCAGGGCAGGGAGATGAGCTTTTCATTAGGGGCAACCAAGGAAAACTGTGGTAAATGCAGCAATTAAGACACTTTTTAATGGAAGTTATAACTGGAGGTGAGGATTTCACAGCACCTTGTCCCAGTTTGAGGCAGCCTTTTTGGTGATTTGGTTTGCAGGTGTTTACCCAACCAGGCTAATAGATCTGTACAGAAAGCAGTTCTGTGTGTAAAGGCTTCCCTGCCTGAGGAAGCAGAATTCACATTTTATGGTTTAAAATTCATATTTTACGGTTTCAAATGCTGTGGCTGCTTCAGAGTAGGACATGCTTACTCTGGAAGAACGTTTTTTTTTTTTTTTTTCCAGTTTAGTTTGCTAGATTAAAACAGGCCCCAGCCCACTGGGACTCAGATCCACTGCTGTCTGACTTACAGGCAGGGCATGGAATAAAGTAGATGGTTGGGATGTGATGCTGCAGCCTGGGTGCTCTGTCCCTGTCTGACCTGGGCAGCCCTTCCTCAAATATGGCCCA